GAGAACTGGAACCGGAACCGCTTAAGGCGGTTCCATAACTTTAGGAACCGGAACCGGAACCACTTAAGGCAGTTCCAGTTCCAAAACCTGCAGTTTCGAGGTGGTTCCAGTTCCAAAAGTGGGTACCCGGTTCCGATGCTCATCCCTACTCAAAACCGTAAACGCTTTGTTTCTAGAAGCTTATTACTGAAATAACAATTGTCCCAAGATTCCCATGACCGAAATCACATATATAAGGTGTTAAATTTGGATTTTAACTTCACCTTTTGACGTATGTTGACTCATAACTTATATAAGTATGATTATCAAAGTATGCACATACAATAACTTATATAAACATGTCCTTAAGGCATTCAAGTTCTTATTGTATTAATGTTATGATATGGATTCACTTGTATACGATTGTAGTTTAGACTTTTATTTGAATAAGTTCGACTTACATTGACTTGAAATAACCGGGTGTTACACTGAATGTGTTTAGCCCTACTCAGACCCTTCGTAAGTGGATCTGCAGGATTCTCTTCAGATGATATTCTCTTCACAGTGAGGTGACATTCTTCTACTCTATGTATGATGAAATGGTACTTTCTGTCGATATGTCTTGATCTTCAATGATCTCTTGGTTCCTTTGTCAAGGCGACCACCCCTTCATTATCACAGAAAAGTTCCATCGACTCCTTAATGGTTGGAACAACTCCAAGATCTCCGATGAAGTTCTTTAACCAAATTGTGTCCTTTGATGCTTTACTTGCCGCTATGTACTCTGATTCACAGGTGAAATCAACCACTGTCTCTTGCTTGGAAATTTTCCAAGTAACTGCTCCTCCATTTAAAGTAAACACCCAACCAGATTGAGAACGGAAGTTGTCTCTATCTATTTGAAAGTTGGCATCACTATACCCAGATACTCTCAATGTATCACTGCCACCAAGTACTAGGACCCAGTCCTTAGTCTTTCGCAGATACTTGAGAATATTCTTAACTGCTATCCATTGAGCTTTACCTGGATTTCCCTGATAACGACTGACCATGCTCAAAGCAAAGGACATGTCGGGGCGAGTACATGTCATAGCATACATGATAGATCCTGCGGTGGAAGCGTATGGAATCCTACTCATTTATGTTATTTCTACATAGGTACTCAGACTCTGAGTCTTACTCAGTTTGATATTGCTCTGGATGGGCAGTTCTCCTTTCTTGGATTTTTCCATACTAAAACGTTTTAGCACCTTTTCCAAATATGTAATTTGACTAAGTCCAACTTGTCTTTTACTCCTATCCCTCAGAATTCTTATCCCCGGAATATAGGCAGCCTCACCTAGGTCCTTCATAGCGAAACACTTTCCAAGCCAAGACTTAACCTCTTGCAAAGTTGGAATGTCGTTTCCTATAAGAAGTATGTCATCAACATACAATACTAGGAAGGTTACTATACTCCCACTAGCTTTGACATATACACAAAACTCATCTTCACTTATAGAGAAACCAAACTCCTTGACTTTCTCGTCGAAACAAAGATTCCATCTACGAGATGCTTGTTTCAATCCATAGATTGATTTCTCAAGCTTACACACTCTATTAGGAAACTTTGGATCAACAAAACCCTCTGGCTGACTTGTGTAAACATCCTTAGCCAACTTCCCATTAAGGAAAGCGGTTTTGACATCCATCTGTCAAATTTCATAATCATGAAATGCAACTATGGCTAGCATTATCCTAATATATATATTATCTTATCCACTGGTGAGAAGGTCTCATCACAGTCAATCCTTGGGGTTTGAGTAAAGTCCTTTTCAACCAGTCGTGCTTTGAATGTGTGCACATTACCATCCATGTCAGTCTTCTTTTTGAAGATCCATTTGCAACCAACTGTCTTCCGACCAGGTTGTTGATCAACCAAATTCCAAACTTGGTTGGCATACATGGACTTGATCTCGTTGTCCATTGCCTCTTTCCATTTGGCTACCTCAGGGCCTGCCATCGCTTCCTTGTAGTTAGCAGGTTCATCCAAATTTACCAATGCACTGATAAACGTATCACCATTCGTAGTTATATGGAAACCATAGGGCTCAGGTGGCATGCTAACTCTACCAAAGCGACGAAGAGGTAATAAACTGTCAACTGGTTCAACTGGAATCTCTTCCTCTGGTTGAACCCTAACGTCTTCAGATGTTCCTTCGTCGTTTGACTCTTGAATCTCTTCAAGATCAATGGTACTCTCACTGTCCTCTTTGCATATGAGCTCTCTCTCGCAAAAGACTCCACTTCGTGCTACAAAGACCACGTTCTCACTAGGTGTGTAGAACAAATATCCAAAAGACTTATGTGGGTAGCCGATGAAAATACATCTCTCACTTCGAGGTTCAAGCTTGTCGTGAGTCTCTCTTGTAACGAAAACTTCACAACCCCAAACATTGATATGTGCTAACAAGGGAAACGCCTAATTATAAAATATATATTGTAATAGCATCAACAAAATTAGATTAAGAAAAGAAAAACTCATCTCCACTCCAAGCTATCAAAGACCAAAGGAAAAAAAACATCCAAAGTTAATATATATATATATATATATATATATATATATATATATATATATATATATATATATATGATATCTTTTATGCCCCAA